GGCATTTGTGCAAAGTGGTGATGCAAGAGCAACTTAATGCAACATTGAGAAATTCACAAAATAACATCCAGCAATAATTAAAGTGAAAAACTGCAGCTAAGGAAAGCAGTCACCCCGCAGTATCAGTTGAGCTGCTGTACTCTGCAGTGTTAAGTGGAACATGTTTAGTGGTGCCTTCAACGCAGGAGGTATCATTCTGAAGTTTCAATATACCAAGGATTCATTCTGCTTTTTACAGAGATTGAATTGTGTTAACAGTGATTAAAAAACCATTAATATATATGAGCAAAAGGATAAGAGTGGAAGAAAAACACAATGCCATCATTTACCATCTGGAAACGTACTACACATGTAGTCAGTATTTTTGTATTAAAATGAAGAGTTAATTTTGAAGCCCAGAATGGTTTTAAGGTAACTTAAGACAACTGTACAAGGTCATTCTCAGGAATCACGTGCATGATATTCAAGATCGGGATATTTATAAAAGACTTCAGTTTGAAGAACTGGAATAGCCAGCTGAGGTTTTTACCATCTTTATGAGAAAGCCTGCACTATTTTCAGTAAGTACATACTAAAGTCACAAAAAAAGCCCTAAAAATTCTTTGTCTAGATTTCATCTTAGAGTATGGTTAAGCGGCAGGTAACATTCACACACAGTTTAGTAGTTTAGTTTTTATGTATGCAGAACTCAACAAAGTAATAGAATTTAGGTAGATAGTAGTATAGCCAATAATTAATAGGTCTTAAAAGTAGCATTCTGAGGCTTTTTTTCACTTGTTTCTCAAGCTGTCTTCTGAACCACCAGCAGAGCCTGGACTTACTGGAAGGAACACTTGGCCCTGTATTATGTAAAACGTTGTACAGTGCGGCTTCAAATTCAGTTCAGAGACAAATTTTGTTTATTTAGTAAAAGATGAGGAGAAAAAGTAATCAGACAAAAATCTGTTCCTGTCAGGGTACATCTCTGGCTGTTGTGCTGTGGCACATAAGCCATGCTTTTCTAGTCTTCAAAGAGAAGGTGAGACTAGTTGTAGATACTAGTTCATGCTTCAGGCAAAAAAAAGGTGGTAGCTGTCCCAAAGCAACCTGAGACTTAATATCTAAGATTTGTAAAGTAGCTGCTGCATTATATTTGGACCTAGCCCTGTTCTTACAGGGATTTCTGTAGTTATGCATTTGAAATCAGGCAGGTGTTGGTGGAATTCAGATTTTATTTTTACACCTTGGCAGAACAAAATAATTCAACTGCATTGTGGATTAGTTTATAATGAAGACATAATCTGTGAAATTGAGTTCTAGATCTGGGCTTGGATAAAAATGCTCAGGTTTAGTTGTGCTTGTGGTTTGGACCAACAGCTCGCATTCAATTTTTGTCTTTTTGTGACTCTAGTTTTAAGTACTAAACTGTAAACATCACAATATGTAGTCTTCTTACTTAGGAAGTTTGCTGTATGCCTCAGTACTAGATCCAAGATCTTTAGCAGTACTTCACAGGAGGAACAGTTAAACTAAAGCTTGTATGAACAAGGCACTAGTAAATGTTTGCAGCAAACAATTACAGTCTATATTCCTTAAGAATAAAGCTGTTCTGTTTAGGAAGTTGCCTTTAATATGACAGATTTACCAATGCCAGTTAGAAGGGCATCTTTTGGATTACACCTGTGAGGTCTGTCAGAAACCACTGAATGCAAATCCCTGCTAAGTTTGGAAGCAGCCTATGCAACAGTGACATTCAGGAGAGCTAAAGCAAGAGGAGACTGGGCTAGATTCTGATCCCTGTTTAAACCAGCATGAAATCACTGTCATGGATTTGCTCCAGATTGATTTACATTGTTAGAAGGATCTGAAGCCAGAATTGAGGCTACTGTGGCAAATCTAGTTAAACAGTAATAGTGCTAACCCAAAACAAATAATTGCCTATAATCCCCTTAAACAGCTTCAAAAAAGAATCTGATATGTTTTATTTCCTACTTGCTGAAGTCCAAGGATGCACTTTGTTTTTTGGTTAATATAACAGACCAAAGCCTTCTGTACTGCTTTGGAGCTGCTGCCATTCTAAATGGTTATTAAGATATCAATCCATACTTTATACCAAATAAAACTGAAGTCTGCCTGTCTGGTTGTAGGATGGCTAACCACTATTTCACATTAAAACTGGTTAAAAAAAAAAACACCAAACTCTTCCATTTGTAAAAACAGAACATACTGCCACTTCTAAAGTGTACTTTTACATAACAGCTCTTTCTGGGGAGAGAGGGTCCCTTGAAGCACCAGAATTTGTTTATCAAGCCAATAATAATGCATATGCAAGCTAAAGGATCTGGTTAATATTCATGATTGCATTTCCTTAGGATCTGTCCAGTAAACTACTGTATCTGAACCATTCATTAGCTGTAGTAAATGGAAGGTCAGTGGTAACTTCACAGTCTCATTTCATCACTCCATCCTGCTTTGTAACCAAACAGCTTAGCTTTATCATCTCACAAATTTATGTTCCACCCAGATCCTCCATTATTTGTACAAGATGTCATAAAAAACCCATCAAATTTCTATTATCCATAACACAAGAGAGAAAAAATTACATTGATTCATTTTCATATTATTGCCATCAGGTGCTACAGTTAACAACTCTGGACAGCGGGGTTTTTTTGTTTGGTTGGGGTTTTTGGATATTATGTAAGGACTTGGTATTAAGCTTATCTCAAACTTCAAGATCACCCATCTGTGGGGACCTCAGAAGCTTTTCAAATATACCAACCAGCTTTTAAAAATGTAGTGGCTTTTTTGTTTGTTTTAGGTTTATTTGGTGGTTTTGTGGGTTTTGGGTTTGTTTTTTATTTTTAGCTTTGACTCCTAAGACTAAATTAATTAGTGGTATAACTCAGCTGAAATTTTTACAAGAGATTAATCTGGACTAATATTTTTTAAACAAAACAAAAAAACCCCAACAAGTAAATTAAGTGCTGGAGATACCTCTCCCATAATTGCTAAACATATTTTAAATTACATACAGAAGCAAGAAAATACAGAAATTTCTCTCCACATTGATCTTTCCTTCATAACCACTTAGGAACCATTTTTCTTTTTAGATACCTTTTTCTTATATGAATATCAGAATAAATGCTTTAATGTGTGTGTGTGTGTGTGGAGGCTAATAAATGGCATGTGTTTATCTAAATATTAGAAAATATTGAGCATTAGAGCTGTGTAGAATCTTTTCTGTAAAAGTTGACAACTTTAAAAAAACTTTTGTTATGTCATTTTCAGTAGGATTATGTAAAATCTTGGCAACTGCAACAGAAACAAACATTCTTTGTCAACACTGTGCCTTCTGCAGTCAGAACTAGTTTTATGGTGTCTCTCTAGATGGCAATTTGAAGTTGTGCATATGTTACCTTACTAGAATTTCCTAAGTTGTGCTTACTTTAAAATAAATGCAAATTTTAACCTTGTAAATGAAAGCTGTGGTTTGAAGGTCAAGGTGGGTTTTTAACTTGCTCTTAAGATTAAAGTAGTGAACTGGGCCATGGTCAGCTTTCCTTCCCCTTTTGCCCACGGATTTTGAAGTGTGCCATCAGTACTGTACAGCCAGGTGAGAACAGTCTGCCTTTTGGAAAAAGTTCTGTGAATGTTTAACAAAATGCAGAACACAGTTTGCTTTCATGGCTGTAGTTCTTTGACAGAAGCAGAGGGATAGTGATGAAGCATTTTTATGACAGAACTAAGTTGCTACAATAAGCTATTACACCTGGCTGGAGAAAAATCTGTGGCCAAACAGTTATATGTATTTTTTAAAGAGCAAATTCACATGTTTACAGAACAGTTGCTTCTTGGTGCAACTTAGTTATGTTTGTAGGGGCACACTATTAATACCAACTGAACCTGTTGCCTAAATGAAGGCATCCCATTTCTGTTTGTGCTGATATATTCACCTATGTAGATGACATTTTAATAAAAAAATGGCATTTCACAATTTATTTTTTTTTTTAAGTAAAATCTAGGAAAGGAAAACCTTCCAGGTGTAAAATCAAACAAAATGTCTGTGTGATCATTTAACAACAGCTATTGCATGATTTTGCATAACTCTTGACCTTCCTAAAAGGCAGGATTTGATTTTAATACATGCATTGGTTTGATAATGAGTCATTACACAACTGCTGACTCACACTTGATAAGTATTTAATTTGGGGAAGAAATTCTCTTGAGATTACAAAAACCAAAAATCACTCTTAGGTCTCTGCTATTGATCCAGAGATTTTCACTGTTAGATGAAATGTATAATTGGAAGTAACTATTGTTAATAATGTAGAAAGGAATCTACATTACATTGATTAAAAAATTCATTTATTTGAGGTGCTTTAGGGATTCTGACAAACTTAATGAGGCCAACCCCAATCCTTCAATACCTTCTTATACTTTTAGCAGAAGAATGAATTACCAGTCGTGCAATCCTAATGTATTTTAAGGCTAGTTAGAAGGCATGGAAGAGTGATACTCAAACTAAATGCTCAAAACTGGCAAGCATTTGCATGACTGAGTATTTATTTAAAAGGAATGATTCACATGAGTTGAAGTTTACGTATTCCTTTGTTTTCTAATACAGTAAACATACCATCTACTTGTATGCCAATAATAAATGATCTTAGAATGCCATTTCATAGCTTGAACATTCTAGCCAGGATGGCAATTAGGGAAAGTCCTAAAAATGAAACAGAAAAAATTGACACATGCTCTTAAATTCAAATGCAGAATGTTGAAATTAACATGGAAGCAGTAATGACATTCAGTGTCAGAAGTAACAAACTTGAAAGTATTAAGTAATTCAATATAGAGAATATAGTTTAGACAGTTTTTATATAAGTGTGCTTTTTCCTAAAAACACCTCCCAAAACCAAACTTTTTTTTTTTCTTTTTCATTAAGTCTTTTGTCTGTAAATAGGAAAGAGGGCTACACTCCAATGTAATTCTTCATTGCCATACTGGACAGCAAAACAGTCTTTCTAATTGGCATTGCTCATGGCAGTCTTATTTGACGTCGCTTTATTAAGTTTGTGATTAATGCAGTTTGGGATTTTTGTTGGTTGTAAACTTTTGGCGTAATGTGAATACCAGTCCCTTTCAAAAACAGCCTTGAGTTGCTTAATGATGCTTGTGCTGTTCCCCACGTCTGCTTGGTTGATAACAAGGCCAGCTCCAGCATTCTGCGTAAAAGCATTTCCTACCCAATCAAAATTACCTACAAGTAAAGGCAGGAATATACAATGAGATTCTAACATTTAAAGGAGAGAAGAAAAAAAAAAAAAAAAAAAGGGTGATCTTCCTAAAGGCAAGCCAGCATGATAGAGCATCATTTTCCTGGGCAGAAACAGAAATAATGTTTTCTATGCTAGTGGGAAAGCAAAAACTTCATTACATACCAGTGTGTAGTGCAGATCCTGTCTTGAAGTTTAACAGCTCTAATCCTTCATAAGTGAAAACAGGTTCTTTTATTTATTCAAAACTAACTTGCCTTTCCTTTCGCATGTATTGTATAATCACTCCATTTACTTTCCTCTTTGGTCTTTTAAGTGCCAATAGTATTTTTTTGTTTTTCTGTATAAACAATTTAAAGTAGATGGGATGGGGATATTGCTGAGACAAACCAGCAGACCTTTGACAGGTTACCCACTGATAGATAGTATTTCAGCAAAGGAAAACAGGTTTTACTGGTTTATGCCATTTATAACCACCTTTGTTAAAATCTAAGGTAATGAATGAGCATTTCAAATGCTGGTGATCACAAGGCAAAGAGCGCAGTTGGATTAATGGAAAACAGGTAAACCAAATTTTTCATTTTTTAAATTTTTATTTCACTAGAACTATAACTGTTTAAGTTGTACATTATAACACATGCAGTATGTCGGAGAAAAAATGCTATTACTAAAGGTCGTCTTTTAAAACAATACCTGAACATACATAAAAAATGAAGGTATCTGAGAAATGTACACCCTTCCTTTCAATGTAATTTCAGCTGCTTCAGCCGGAAATGTTAAAAATTCTAAAGTTGTCCAGGATGGTAAATTGAAGCCTTATCTTTAAGGACATTTTTTCCTATGCTTTCAAGTGAAAGCATATCAAGTCCTTAACATGCATTTGTATTACTTTCACAGAGCTTTGATTCTCTTTGTTTGTATGTGTGGGTCAATGGGAAAGAAAAAAACAAAACAATTCAGCTAAGAACCATGCTATGTAGAAAAGTTGTTAAGTTACCAAAATTTGATCTGGCTATTGGGAAAAACTTGAAATAGAGTTAATATAAAATATTTGAGTGGGGGCTCATCAAAAATTTGGGAGACAAGAAAACAAGCTGTACTATTTAAAGTAAAAAAAAAAAAAAAAAGCTTTGGGTAGGTTAAGAGAGGGGTGTATTTAGAGCCCATCAAGGTGGTCTTTTCAGAGTAGCTGTTGGTTGCATCTCTACACTACTTGGGATTCTCCACTCTTCATGTATGCACAGGCACGCTTCTGGGCCACAGCCGTTGCCCTCCCTCCCTGCCTCTGCACACAGGCTTCCAGCCCTTTGCAGTAAGTCAGGGTGAGGAATTAAACAACTAAAGCATCAAGCTGCAGCATATTAGAATGCATGTTTTCTCTCTTGACATTATTAATCTCATGAGGTACTTTTTAATTCAGTAGTAGTTTTCTGAGCCTTCACCTCACGCACAGCTTAAGCAATCAGAATTTTTTAAAGGTAGTTTTTAGTCTGCATTCAATGATCAGTTGACTGATAATGACCTTTTGCTAGTGCCATACAGTGACTTGACTTAAATACACCTTTAACCCAAAATACCAATCAGATACGTACCTAATGTTAGGGGGGTGTCTGAAATGCCATTACAGTACATGGAGTAAGACTTCAGAAGAGGAAGATGAAAGGCATTTGTATGGTATTTACCAGGACTGACCATAGTTTTAGCAATAACATGGGCGATGGAGAACAGTCTATCTTCACTGGATTGCAGAAAAAAGAGACTATTAATAATCCAGTCATGAAGTGTCTTGTATTTGTGTTTTCACTCTGTTTTTAAATACTGAAAGCAGAATATTACTTTCCAGAAACTGATTCATAGGAGGAAAAGTAATTTTTAAAGAAGAGGCTTAAAGGTAGACCTTCATCCGGGTTCCAAAAGAAATGCATTATTATTTTAACTTGATAAGCATGTCAGCTGCAGCTTCCTTATTTACCAATGGGTGTTAGTTCAGGCTTTTGGCTACAAACTAGAACATCTTCGGATGTGGTTACTTACCAATGTATGCAGCTCCATCAGTCACCATGTATTTGTTACGATTTAATTTGGGAAGGGAAGTGTTCTTCTGCTCTTTAAGAAAGCATGCACTCTCTTCCTCAAGGTCAAAGAATTTCTGCCATAAAGGAGAATGGAATGCAGGTTAGTGAAAACCATTCTATAACACACAGAAAAAATATCATCTGTTCTCTACTCTTTATTGAAAATGAGTTAGTGCTACAGAACAGCTTGAGGTTTTATAGACAAGCATTCATTTTAATAAAACACTGAACATTGTATTTCATACTAAATTCTTTATAGTTTGTGATACTGTGCTGTTTATCTAACACTTTATGCTGTGGATTCTGTCAGAATCTCTCTTTCCCATTGGAAAATATGTTTGGGTAAATTTTATATTGTCAGAGGTTGTACTAAAACTGCTGGGAAGAACTCTGTGTAGAATACCAAGGCTAGTTCAGGCTTCTTCTGATTCCAGCATTGAGGAGAATCTCTGTTCTGAGACTGACACACCCCCCCCCTCCACGATGATGAAAATCTATTAGGGCTGAAGCAAGTTTTTAGTTAGTAAGAAATAAAATCTAAAGAGCTTGTGTTTCTTCAGTGCCCCAATACTGGTTGGTACTATGGTACAGTTTGATGATTAATAACTGTCACAAAGTCATTTCCTTAAACAGTCTCTGAATTTTTGTGTCATCACATGCTTACTTATGTGTATATGGCATTGTTATCTTCCACAGCTTAATTTTTTTAATGAGTCCAAATACTAGCAAAATTCTAAATAAATATTTTTTTTTTTTGGATTTAAAAACAAGCACAACAACCCAAACTGTTTGAGTGATTACTTTATAAAGAGCATTTGGAAAGTTTATTCTATGCAAAACTGCAGTATCTGTCTTTTAAATAAGATCTATATTGTATATTTACCTCTAACTAAAATGCACGGAGAAATCATACCTTTGATCACAGATTTTTAACTTCACTAACAATTACAGCAGTACATTAGAAAAAAAAAAAAAAAAAACAACAACAACAACCAAAAACCATCTTAGCATCTGCAAAGGAAAGTTTACTAGATACTAGGGGTTAGTTTGTAGACAACATCAAGACTGCAACCTTGTGCCTGAGGTGCTGCTCTGCTACACACACCCACCACAGAAATTATGTACTTAGAAAGCCAGAGATGGATCACAATCTTTCTGAAAAGGTCTTGAAATTTTGGATAGAGCGAGAAGAAAATAGTCATATTTTTCCTGGCACAACACTACAGAAACAGAGACAGTTAGCAGCCGTAGAGTGTCCATCAAGGTTACTTGCAGTAACTCTTCACAAGGTTCTGCAAAGTAATGTGTAAATAATACTGGTATTGTGGGGACTAAGACTGTTATTGTAGGGAATCATCTAAAACCAGCCAATGAATAAAATACTCAGTGCTAGGAAACAAAACATAACAAATTGGCTTCTTCCAAGTGTTAAGAGATTTAGCAATAACTTACATACCTTGCTGTAAAAATAGCCAAGCACAATAATCGTGTAAGCTTAGAGATGTCAAACAGAGATTCAGCAGATGTGCTGAACTGAAAAATCACATGTTAATGTTCTGTTTGTATAATAACTTTGTAAGAGAGAAAATTTCAGATTCAGGTAGGAAAGGACAGAAAGCTTGAAAATGTAACGTGTCCAGCAGCAGCAGAGAAGCTATTGACTCTTTGACAATACAGGAACCAGCAGGGGAACCCTCACAAATGTAGCTTAGATGAGCAAGTGAACCAGCACTGGTGTTAAGGAACACAGCCTATAACCTTCTCCAGTTTGCACCCTCAGCAGAAGTACCAAGTTAATAATACACCACCTGCTGCTAATATTTCATTTTTTCTTTCCCATATTTATTTTAGGAGTTTAGAGGTCTAAATGAGTGCACTAAGAGCAAAGTTTTCATAGTTAATTCATTACACTTTGTTTACTCATGGGGCATTTCTGGTTTTCTGAGAAAAAAAATGAAATATTCATTATTTTTCCCTTCCTCTTACCTTAGTAGGAATACACCTGCACAACTCTAAAATAGATGCATGTGGAGGCTCAAGAACAACTTGTTCTGTAGCTATGTCTCTTCCATGCCACTCCTTCCTGGTCTCTGGTTATCTAAAGAGGCTTTATTCTAGTTCAAACTTTCGGTGGGCTCTTCAAAAACAAGCACCTTTCTCTGGCACTGCACCCAACAGAGCTGATCCCTTTTTACTGCTCCTTTGAGAGTTAGACTGAGCAGTCCTGCGTGTACGACGTATTTACAGGGTCAAGCACACAAAATTTAAGGAATACTGGCATTTAGGTCCCAAGAAGCATGATGGTGAGCTCTTCACCTTGAGTTTACCCTTCATGACTCAGACTTTAATTTCATGACCACACGTGATTCAGTGCATAGGACAAAGCTCCCTGAATGAGGAGCACTTTGGTATGCAGTTTACTCCTTGACATTTGACTGTGTGCTTATAACATTTGTTTAGTCCTCACACAAAGCTTTTTTTCTCGTGAGTTCTTCCCAGTGATCACTTTTTCAGAGTAATTGTATTGAATTTGCACTCCCAAAGCAGTTTCAGTTGAATTCAATAATTATTAATGTTTATGTGAACTGGACTTTGAGTGAGACTCTGAACTCAAGAGGGACTAAGCCTTTTCTAATTGCATTGATGTTAATTGCCCAGTATTATCAAAGTTTTGTGGCAAAAGAGAAAAAACCCGTGCTTTTGGATAGAGCACCCCATTACAATTCACTATTTGCAGCTAGGAAATCCTACCTTGCAGTCCCTGCCCTCCTGCCCACCACAGCAGGCTGAGAAATCACATGTACAGGGGTTGGTGGCTGTTCTTGGTCAGGACGCTGCTAGGCCTAACAGGTTTGCAGGGCCCTCCTTCTAACTATGCGTTTGCAATTAGGCAATGCTAAAACTTCCATCAGCCTGCTCAGAGACCAGGGCAAGTTGGGACGAGATTCCCATCTAATAGAGAAATTACATCTGCATGGCCTTCCTCAAGATGACCGTGTAGCTCAGGCTGCTGCCATCGGCCACGGTGCGCCCTGCAGCTGCTGCAGGCCGTGAGCACGCGCTGGGAGCCTCCCGCCCAAACTGGTCTTTACATAGGGGGGAAAAAAAAGCAAACAAGAATCATGACAGGGCATGTCAGAAGGATCGAAAGGGAAATAAAAGAAAAAAATTACTGAATATGCTCTGTAGGAGTCAGGTTATATTATCGCCAAGAGAGCAGAAGAGGAGGGCAGGAGCATGTGCCATTTCTGTCACAACGGTATTGAGGTATTGAGACAGCTTAGCAATTTTGAGTATCATTTCTATCAGCATTTGTAACATAAGGTTTTCTTAAAATTTCAGTGTTCTTGTATATAAGCACATATGATACATGTCTACATGACAGTATTTTCTGTGTGGAATTTAGTTTGACTTTTTGTTTTCTCATGCCCAAAGCAGAAACAAAGGGAAAAGCTGAATTTTCTGGTAATTCAAAAGTTTAATCTTTTTTACTTTGTTAGCCTATTCCTTCTCTCCACACACACGCATAGCTGCTTCACTTTGAAACTGCGCCTCAGGCTCTGTCAGGACACTCCTTTACTTCACAAAACAAGTCAGAGGTGCACCGTTTTCTTAAAATGGCATTTCTTTTGTATTCATCTGTTCTAGCCAGGATCAGCCAAAATCAAATAGATACCAGCAAACTCTGAGCCATAGAGGTAACTGAGCTGTGTTTTACCTTTACGACTATTGAAATGTGGGGTGTTCTCATTTTTTTAGCAGAAGTAGTGTTTGTATTTTCAAACTGCAGATATTCTAGCTACCAAGAAATAGCTGTCTAGAAATATTTTTTATTACTTTCAGCATTTATTTTCTGACAAGATAAGTTCTGTACAAGATAAATTTTGCCTGTGGTAAATAGATAAAAATGAATATGAGTATGTAGAGCATTAAGTGCCACTTAAATAGAAAATAATTCTGAATACATAAATAGAATTTTGATGATAAATATGGAACAAGCTAGAACTTATTTGAAATTGAAGTGGTTTAAGCAGTTCCAGCCATGTATGGGCTTTGTGACTTAAAATCAGACTTTATGCTGCTTCTTTCCTAGGAAACTTGTAATAACAGTGCACAGTATAACAAAAATCCCTATTTCTAGATATCCATAAATACCACTTGGTGTATATAACACAAACAGTACTTATTTTTTTTAATGACTTTTGTAGATTTTAAAAAGCCAAAGCGATTTAGTAGGTTATCAATTTAAGAAATCAAAATAATTCAGCAGATTAAGAAAGTTATCTGAATAAAACCCCAACAAAACAGCCCCAAGATGGCTGATTTCCAGTGTGCCTCAATTTCCTAAAAATGAGCTGTTTCAAACTGAAAGTAGTGCTTACTGTACACACTGTTTGTTAATACAAATGTAACATATACAGTATTTCTCACTTTCCTGGATTATATGTCTATTGTGGTCACATAAGGGTTGTTCTGAATTTGTAGCCTGAATTTAATGCAAAGTTTGGGGTTTTTTTGTACTTTGTACTTGACCAAAAGTAGATGCTTATGCAGCTGAACAGTAAGGTTACACAAATCCAGACTCAACCACGTTTTTGTGCTCTCACATCTGCTCCTATTAGCCAGCATAAAGAAGACTGGTGACAGTGGCTCGCTCCGTTAGCTTTGCTGTGAGAGACCAGATGTAGCATTTCACATGGGCTGTGTGCCACGCAGGCTGCCTGTTGCCATTGTTCTGGTTTTCTGCCTCAATTTCTATGCCTGTTGTCACCGTGAATAAATTCAGTTCATTATGTTACATTTCCTATATGTTAGTTAATGAAATCTAAAGTCTTTGATATAAACAGAAAACAATTCTCAGTTGTGAAGTTTTCTTGATTTTTTCTGAGTGGTGAGAAATATCTTAGATTTCAAAGCAATATAGATTATACTTACAACTTTCAAACTACAGCTTGGAACTTCAGTGCAAATAGCTTTCAGAGATGAAACAAAGTTAAAAGTAAGGGGATCTGTGTCTCTTGAGAAACTTATGAGAAGTCGTACTTTGATGCTTCGTAAAACTAATGCTTCTCTTATCTTCCCATCTAAATATGGCCAATACCTGTGGAGAGAGAATAAGATATATTCAGAGAACTTAAAATTTTGGATTTTTATGCAGCCAAGTCTAGACATCATAGAGAAAACAAACCAAATGTGAACTTCATTTTCTATCTGTTGAAGGAATGCTTCAATCCCTTCTCATTTAGAAGGATTCTTGCTAAACATCCTTTTTTGTGTCATCCTGCCCAACGCCAAAACTGTCGCTATGGGGATAGTGAGGTCGTGGATAGTTGAGCACATCTTACATCTGTGTAGGTGCATAGTACCAAAAATACACTTGCACAAAATAGAGGTACCTTGTCCGCCCATAGCCGGGAGATTGACTGGGTGAGAGCAGTGGATCTCTTGTGGTGCCAGAGAACCAGGAGAATGAGCTACAGCTAGAGGGTGCTGCTTACCCAGCCCTGACAGAGGGACAGGAGGCTTTTCTGTTGGTTACAGGAGAACAGGAACACTGGATCCCCCCCTGACTTCTTCCTCTGTACTGGAACCACATGGCCTGGGGACTGGAATGCCTTCTGTAATTTCTTGCCTGGGAAAAGGAAAGCTGCTGCCATGCAGAGTCCCTGCATCCTTAAGCAGCAGATGAAGATGGGTCGATTAAGGAGGATGCTGCCTTTTCTCCTCATGAGGACTGCAGGAATTCTGCCATGAATAGGATATTGGCTTCCATGGTGCTGCTCTCACCCTCACTAGTTAGCTTTGTGTCCCTGACCTTTGGTGGGAGCAGGTCAGGATAACGAGAAGGATACAAAGGAAATGCATTTTTTCTTTATTCCAGCAGCATCAAGGCATTTAGCCTAATGAAATCTGAGTTTTATAATGCCAGAAAATAACTTGCAAGTGAGAACTGGGACCTGACAAGGCAGAGAACCTGTGGCAGTGTCTCAAACACAAAGCCACGCTGTAGGAAAAATGTTGAAGAATTCACACAGGTGGCTTCCCTGGATCTCCCTAATCCAGTAGATTTCAGAACTCTTCAGGCATAAGAACAAAGTGAGGAGGAGCACAACAGGTAACATCAACAACTGTAACAGTCCTACGTACTGAGACCCTTTCCAGCAGAAAGGAGAAATGCAAGGGATGCATATTGTGAGACTCCTACAGCACTTCCCATGGTTCTTTCACTGAGTTGGAGGCTGGACATAATGTGTTTATTGGAAAAACCCTCCAGTAGATTTGAAACAGCTTATGATTGATATCAGTCAAATGAGTTACTTTAAAAAAAAAAAAAAAAAATCTAAAAAACATCTTTAATTATGCAAAACTGAAAAAAAAGCACATAACCATGTTTAATTTGGCTTAGTTGTGTTCAGATAAAGTGCATGGATGGAATGGCAAGCTGTGCTAGCTACTCAATCCAGTGTGAATGTGACTGAGCGTCAGAGGGACCACTGGATACTTGCCTTCTGAGTTGGATGGCTTATTAGACTGTGGCTCCAGTTTTGGGTCATGAGTTCTTTTTAATGGTCCATGTAAACAGGCTGTTTAAAATTATTTGGTTTCATTTTTTTTTAGCAACTCTCAGTTAACCAAAATGTGATATAGTTCAAAAGTAATCTATGTTGAATTTGGAATTTTTATGTGTATGCATATTTCAATAAAATAATGACATCTCCCACACTTACAACAGGTTATATCTCTCCTAAAACACACACACGCACACACGCACACTCTCTCATGTTGATTACCTGTATGATACTCATAAGATGCCAGTAGCTGTGGCATCAAGATAGTGAATATGATAGTATAGGAAATAGGATTTGTGTATAAGCAGGTTCTTGTATTCTTGGGCCCCAGTCACTTGCAGATGGTCAGACTAGATAATTAATTTCTCATCTCCTTCAATAAACAGATCCAAACCTTAGGACTAAGAACTGGAAATGTCTTCTTAGGTCCCAATTCTGCTCCCATTTAAGTCAATGGCAGAACTCTCACTGATTTCAATAAGAGCAGAATTGGGCCCCAAGAAATGGGTCCACAGTAGTAACTAATCTCCTGTGGGTTCACTTTCTCCAGCAGACCTGACTGGCATTTTGATGACCTGCTAGCCCTGGACGTGGACACTCACCGTTTAGCGTTGGTGTCAATGATGATTGGCAAGTAGTCCATGACAGCTATGTACACAAACTGTTTGGCGTCATCGATGACACTGTATATAGCTTCGATATCCAGGACTCTGTCCTTTGGGCAGAAGAGTTTAGGTGAATTCTGTGAAAGGAGAAGTTCAAACACGGCATTTAAAATACACGAGTTATGTTCTTTCCCCCTGATTCTTCTTGAGATAGCAAGTAGTATCCTTTATTTTAGTAGAGAACATTAACTGATACCTTCAACCGTCCTGCTAGCATACTCAAAAGTGCAAAGGAGAGGTATTTGCTTAATTTCCTCATGAAAGCCTCACCACTGAGATGTAACTGGGTAAAACGCAGAAGACGGAAACTTCAAAACATCCACCGTCATCAAAGAAGCTGTACTTGAAGTTACATTTCAGAGAATTTTGTTCCAAAACGTCCCAGGACTGGTTAATATTAGATGGTGCCACATGAGCCTGATCCATTGCTTGCGACCAGGAGTTAAGCCTATTACATCAGTTCCATTTAAAGTTCCATGCAAAGTCACTGTTTGCTCAGCTGCTGTCGCAGGGAGGTGTGCAGTTTTGCAAGAAAAGTCTTTGAACCCTAACTTCAAGTATAAATTAGCTCTTTACCTGGTGCTGAGCTAGTAAGTGGTAAACCCAGATTTCAGCTTTTCTGTCTTGGACCTAGGGGCATCGAGGGTGTCAGTCAGCAAGGTGAAGCCAGCAGGCATCACCCATCTGTGGCATAGAGGCTCGGGAAGTTCTGCTCTTCTGCCCAGGCAGGGAGAGAGAAGTGGAGCCACCTGCCAAGCTGCTCACAGGCAACAGCAGTTCCTGGGAGCAGAGACTGTTAAAGGCCCTTCATCCACCTGGAGCAGGTGCCACTTGTCCCTTTCTTAACAGCTGGCCCTGCAGTCTACTGCCTTCCTGCTGCTGTATCACCTTCTCTCCATTGTTACCTGCTCGAGTTTTAGCTGACATCTAGATTACTATGTTTTCTTTTGGGAAAGATCCTGGGGTTTTGATTAGTCTTTTTTTTTCTTTCAATACAATGCCTGTCACAGGGATTTCTTAAGTCATTGACTGGTATTCTTAAGGATTTACTATAACTAAGTTCAGAAAATACTGGAAAATTCACTGTAGCAAAATTTCAAGGCCAATGTTGAATCCATTCCTGAACACTTAAGAAAAACAACTAAAACTTCTTACATTTTATCAGCCAGTCTGGAAGACAATTTTGTTGCTAAGCAACTCTAAGCCATGATTCCTGAGTATAACAAAAAAAATCAATGACTGTGTTATGCGTTGTGTTTTCTACAGCACAAACGCTGAAAGTGCAAGAAGTTTTCAAAGAATGAATTTCAACACAATAAAAAGTGTAAAATGATTTTGTTAAATATAAGTTATATGCATTATCTGAAACTTTTAGGAGGCTGTTGCACTGCAATTTAATTCTTACACTCTTGCTATTTTCTTGAATAGAAGTGTTAAGTTACAGAACAGCTAAAGAAAGGAATTCTTATGCATTGTCTTTTTCATGTGGGTTCAATATAAAGACCAGCAAGTGAAAGACATTTAGAAGATAACTAGAAGAAAAACTGTTAAAGCTCTCCCTGTAACACTTGTGTCTGGGCATTCAGCTTGTAAGCCTGTGGCACAGGTGATGCCTCCCCAGCTCTCACCATGGTCATAGAATATTTTAGTGTTTTTCTCCGTGTTAGTTATGTAATACTTGCTGTTCTGATCAAATTCCCACTGGAAGCTTCTCTTCACCTACCAGAAACGGGCCTTTATTCTCATTTGGAGCAGCTCCTTGCCATGGCCCTGCGCAGGGGGTTGACAGGGAGGGCAGCGCCAGCCCCTGCCCCCCGATGGGCAGCAGTGGCAGTGAGCGAGCTGCCTGGCTCATGGAGACCTTCTTCTCATCATTAGTTCAGAACAGACAGATGCTTTTAACCCGTGCTCCAGCAAACCAGTCCAGTGCAGCTCCAGGGCTGCCTTTCAGAGGGGCATGCTGGCACACACTCAGAATTTCCTAGTGGGTGAGAAATTTCTTGAAAAACCTGTTTTCAGGAAGGAAGCACCAACCCAACTGGCTGTGGCTACAAATTCAGGTAACTTCTGGAGCTAGACTTCACTAATCTGAGCTTCTGAGTACCAGTGACGCCTTCCTTTTTTTTTTTTTTATTAAGTGGAATTTCAAGAAAAGAGGCTTTTGTTGCCCACACAAAAAGAAAATACAAACCACAGGGAGAAAGTGAACATTCTGCAAGCTCTTTTTGTAGTCTCTTTCCACCTGTCTTTGTCTTAAAGTTGGCCTTACCCAGCTTTCCTTACCATGCGCCTCTCCAGGACTGGCTTTCAGCTGCACTTCTCCATTTCTTAAAGATAGTTTAGAAGGGAGTAGGAATTAATTTCACATCTCCTCAGCCAACTGTCCAAAAGTCAGTCACTAATTAGGCTAGTCCTTAAGACTCTCCAGAATCAATGGAAGCGTTTATCTCATCAGATGGTTATTAATCCTGGCTCTCTTCAGCAATTCCAGACTTTCACTCCAAAATAGCTTTCTGTCTCTTCACTGATTGTGGGAGTGTGATAAACCCTGGATGCCTGAACATTGCCTGTCTCCCAGCAGGTGAAGTCAAACCCTGCCCTGTAAACCTCTCATCTGCACCAACATCCTGGGCTAGTGGCTGTACAGCTTAACGGTGTGCTACGTGCCCTGCGTTGTTTTAGACGTAACTGGCTATAAAGCTCCTTGTTTTATACAGAATGTTAAATAGCTCTAAGCAATGCCATGATATTCCTGAATTACCTCCAGAACAAAAGGCACTCCAGAACTTTCATCATCTCTATTGTTCTCTGTACTTTTTTCCAGTTTTGCTGCATGGCTGCTGAGATGGAGGACTGCTCCATTTCTTCCTATTAAAAATATCCACAGGCACTGCTTCTGTGGGGGTTGCTGCTTGAATTATAGAAGTTTTAAAATAAAACTAAAGTAGATAATGTTCTACAGAAGTATGAATGCTTTCAATAGAACAGGTTGGAGAGGATCAATCCTTATAAATTACACTGATAAAAATGCAGGCTTTGATATCAAGCTTATTCTGTATCATTTCAGATGGCTGATTAACAGTTCATTTACTCCCAAGTCATTCACCTATCTAGCAGTGTAAATAAATAATCTGATTTGAAGGGCCTCTCTGTTACTTTCTGACTGTAAAAGTGGTGAACATTACAGAGAAAGGGAAAAAGAATAATGCTCAAATGAAATCCTGTAGAACTTTCAGTACCAGCAAATTGCATTTATGAACAATGTAACTGAAACCAGAATTAAAAAAAAAAAAAAAACAAAAAACCAAAACGACAAAAAAACCCTGTGATTTGTCTGTTCTGCACCACAGGAAAAGGCAAATAACTTTTAAAAGCACCTTTCAGTTACAGATTTCCCCACAAAAGTATACCTATTGGAATAACCTTTTTCCTAGACAGCAGAATTATTTGGTTTTCCAGCATTATGAGACCACTGAACAAGTTCTGTCTTGTGTAGGTGGTATCTATAGTGGTCTTATCTCTCTAGTGGAGTTTCCAGTCACTTGCACAAATTGCAATTTTAGTAGCTGCTTTTGTTTAAGGACATAGTGGGAATGTGCATCTTCTTCAGTTAGGGCCAGTGAAGAGAAAGGGTTCAGCATAGGCTTAATGTATACCATATATGTTCCTATTCATGGAAATTACTTTCTGTGGTAATGTCTCAGTATCTGTCAGGGACAACACAGCATTATGATGGACTTACTGCAGGGAACTGTGAACATCTCTGGACCAGTGAAAAGACACTTTAAATTCTTTCACAGGTGCTACTAACAACGACCTAACCTGGTCTCACTACTCTGTAGTTTGTAAAGGACAATATAAGGAAAATACACAGATGTTAATTTCCAGATCTTCTGAAAATCTGTTTGGTTTAATAAGTTTATTCCCTCCCCTCCCTTCTCTGCTACTCATTTCAGAACTTACCGACACAAAAGCTTCCGATTTTGTCTCATTCAGCTGCAGTGTCAGTTTATTCTGAGTGTCATACACGCCATAAAGTCTCTTAGACCAACTTGGAGGTATTTTATTCTTGTATCTTAATGAGCTGTACAGGGCAAATATCCTTTGTAAATCCAGGACCAGGCAGCTACAGTTGTATACGATGATGCCAAGTTCCTTCATCTGTGAAATTAAAAGTTCATATCATCAGTGGTATTTTGGCAGGTGAATCTGTGGAAGTATGCAGCAGCAGTGTCTGAGGGGGTAGCTTCCAGAAGTGTCCCTTCAGCTCAGTGGTACTACTGGTGACTATAAGAACATTCCTGTCAATACTCTTTTAAAGGCAAACACATAAGCTAAATCTTGAAAGCACAGCGTGGGTAAAAGCTGTAAGAGGGTTTGTATGTTCCGTGTGTGCTAGAGCTGCGTGTCCTGATAGAATTTAGAATACAGCACAACTTATGGATGGACACAACTTAGGAGTGATATCCATTGATCACAGACATAATATTTATTAGGTGTCTGCCAAGGTTTGCTACTTGTGGTCAGAGTGGTTTGTTTTTTTTTAAACAGGAAAAGTAACCATTCTCCTAAATGACACAGGAGCATGTGCTGCTACCAGTGACAGTTTCTTACTTCAGAAATGATTTGGGTTTTGTGAGTTTTGGAAAAGGTGAAAGAAATGAACTTATTTCTCTGCTGGATGAGGAATATGATGCTCCAGCTTCAAATGAAAGGATGAAAAAACAGGTGTTCAATACTATTAGTTGCTAAATTTACTGTGCTATTAAATCCAGCATGATCCAGTCTATACTATACCAATAAGGACACTAAAAACTTGGGTTTGTAACTCCCCCATTGCTACAGTATGGTGATGCATCTAGGGTACTAAAAATTTCTGGGAGTCAGTTTCTTCACATGTGAAAAATGGAGATAATGATACTCTTCTCATATAAAAAGTACTCTGTAAGCATCAACATTCTCACATATAAAGTATGAGGAAAAACAGCCCAAGTAAAGATGGACATCACAGTACAATTAAATGCTTTAACCTTCTATAGACACGGTTTTACTTCTCTCTTTAAGTGTTAAGGCTCATCTCCTGGTCATCATAAATCTTGGTTTGGCAGGGATTTCATTAATTGCACATCCCTAGTACTTAAGTTGTCATCAGAATTTAATTTATAAATATATTGCCTGGCTTCTGTAATCAAAGAGTAACCGCATGCACACTTCCTCCCTTCCTTTGCTTCAGAATAGCTCAGGAAAGCACTGTTGTGGGCACAGGTGCTATTGACCTCTCATTACCTGCATTTCATACTGGTTCAGCCATCTCCAAAAATAAAGTGAGAAGAAAACCTGCATGTATCCGTTGGAAAACAATATGTAGCATAAATATTTAAAGGACTCACATTGGTTTTCTGTAAACAAACTCTCTTGGTAGCAGGTCTCAGAAGTCTGCCTGGCATGATGAAGAAAATAAAGCGAGTACAAATTCCTCAGCATGCTCATCCTTTGACACCAAAAAATCACCACTGGCTTTATTCCCTTAGAAGAGATCTGCACAGCCACACGAAGTAGTTTCTGGTGGGAGCATATCTTTTTGTAAAGCCTGTGGGAACTCTGAACCCGACACTAACGTTATCTCAGAGCTTGTTCCTACACAGTTCTCCCTGACTGCAGATGAGAACCCCTCTGCCAGCATGAACAGAGGAAGGGAAGCAAAGGACAGAACTGAATCTTCACTCTCTTTCTATGGTGGATGAGAGGAAACAACATAACCCAGTACTCCAATGAAAAACAAACTCAGTGGGTGACATCTTTAGGTCCCTGACCTTGAAATACCACATACCTAAGAATATACAACACTGAGCGATCTCATACCCAAATATTTACTGGACAGTTGCAACGATAGCAACATTACCTAATATTCGTATTGCTTAAATCAGAATATTTCTGCAGTCTTCTTTAATTCATTAAAAAA